TGAATTTTACCCCTTTAGAGGACTAGGAAAAAGAGTAGTACGAAGAGGCTACCTTAAAAGGAACGAGGGAATTCTACAGAAAGAGGGAAAAGAAAGGAGAAGAAAAAAAGAAGAAGGAAGGGTTCTTTCAAAATCCTCATTTGAGTTTTAGTTATGATAATTTTTTCTAAGAGCTGCATATTATGTCCATACACCAAATGCATATGTATTTCCTCTTACATAACTCTTTTCTAGATAAAAGTTGTCACTACGCAATTAGAATTAATCAAAATCGGTGTATTAACATGTTGATTAGGCTAATGTTAAAATATAAAATATCCAAAGCATTTATGATAACAAAAAAAAACTTTTTAATTAATTTAGGATGATAAGAATTTAATTACTCAATCTCATATCGTTTTGATTGTTTAATTGACTATTATTTTCTTATTACTTTTCGATACCTAATCAATATTTATATTGAATAATACGTATATCTACTTCTCTTTATCTTTAACAAAAGTATGTTGCTTCACAGTTAGAGATTCAATCAAAAAAGTTATTCTATAACAAAAGTTTTAATTATTTTTACATAATTCCAAAATTCCTAAAATGAATGATAATTAATATAATTCCCTCTGAGTAAAAATCATAGCTGAATAAGAATTCTTGAATATTATAATTCATAGATGGCATTTTTCATTTTTGAAAAAGGATCATTAAATTGATTATTTACTCCATTAGAAAACCAAGCCATATATGTAAATTTTACAAAATTAGATAACAAATTAACGATTATATAATCAATAAATATTGATCATATTGTATGTAAAATTTGCTATAATAAAAAATAGATGATGTAATTAATGCTGTCATTATTTCAAAAAAGATTTATGGAACAAATTCTCATATCCTAATATGATTGCAATGATAGTTCGAAAATAAAATGAAGCAATATAAACAATATTCATTTTTTGCTAGGGAAAAAGTAAAAGTGAAGAAATCTTAGATTAAATTAGAGAGAAATTAGCTAGATAAAAACATGTATTCTCTTTGTATTTCCTAATTCTTATTCGCCGCTGCTTGATTGTATTAATTAAAATTAATTAAATCGAATTTCAGGTGTAAAAAGAGGATTGCTGATTAACCAGATATGGAAACGCTGAAAAAGGATGGGTATGGAATCTTATATTACAATCAAAAACGTGAAAAAGTTCAGGAGTATATATGTTTACTGATTCCATCCTCAGTTATACAAATATTAGAAGCATTATTAGCTATTATATTGTGAATGCGATGGGCAATTAATCGGTATTGTTTAGATACTTATCTTAATTTAATAATGTATAAAAATATCTATAATTATCTCTGCCTCCAAAGTTGTAAAACCTAAAATCAAAGAAGATATGAAATGGTTTTGTTAGGGAGAGAAATGCCTTATAATTTTTTTCAGTAGATGCACTAATTAATAAAATATGTTCAATATTCATTTATAATTAAAATGATTTTACAATTAGAATATTTCATTTAAGCAGGATGAGTATTTTAAAACTGAATGGTTTTATGTGTCATTTTAATCTTTCCTAACCACAATTCGATTCAACATCTCCTTCTGGCAACCAGGTTCCACTGTGTCTTGGGCCTCCATCATTTTTAAACCCCACCCTCTTTCCCCTTATTATTGTACGACTTCTCTAGATGTCATTGCACCCACTCAAGGTCCAATTCTCTTATTTCTTTAGTGGGAATAGGCCTTAGAGGAACTTATTCTTAATTCCAATTTGAAATAATCATTAAGATTATCCTTCAACAATTCTGAACTTTCATTTAAAGTTAAGAAATACCAAAATATTTCCTGATTTTCATCTAAAGAATCAAACTTATCTTGTTTTTGTTCATATAAGAATTCATTTTAGCCATTTAATTTCTATGTCAATCTGTCTTCTCTCTTAATTGCCAAAAATATATTTTTAAATTTGTGAAATCATGAGACGTAACACAAGTGATGTAATTAAAACCTTAATTGCTAAATAGATCTGTTCTCCAAACTCAAATGTAAATGATATAGTACTAAAAAATATAAAGTAAAAGGTATAAGTTAAAATACATTTTTAAATTATTAGTCCTTGTGATTGATAGAATAAATAATTGATTGCTTTTTCCCCAGTTATTTAATAAATTCTATGGGTGGTTTATCGAAGATTTAAGGCAGCACAAAATATTTGAAGCTTTATTACTTTCAAACCAATTCGAAACCTTCCTCCAAAGAATTCTTTGGAGAGTTGCTATCTGTAAATTTATAATTGTCTGGTTGGCTAGTTCACATCTGCGTGATTTTACATTCGGATTGAAAATTATCGAACTTCATGATTAATTGTAATGATAAGCATATAAAGCTTCATTAATTTAATTACAAAAAAGAAATATATTAATAATACTTTGTCTATTGTTAAATTTCTAATACAAAAATTAAATGACAATTCAAAATATTTTGATTCCCATATTGTCATTAAAATAATGGATTATAAATTGTATTTGAAAACATGGGAAAATGTATAATATTTAATTTATTATATTATAATATTTTATAAAAATCCTTCATATATTTAAAATTAATTTTCATCCTTTAGATTTTATTTTCTTAATCAAATTAGTGAAAGGGTCATTGATAGTGTTGTATTCACTACTTGTAAATAAAATCTATTATGGTCTCAACAATATTAAAGTGAAATCTCTGGGTTTTTGTAAATCACTATTAGTGCAGTTTGGAGAAATTTGTGAAACTGAAATAGATAAAAATCTAATAAATTACATTTCTATCTCTCTATTCTACTGAGTCTTTATATCACTCCAAAAAGATGTTTCCTTATTTTTTTATATCTTTCAATCACGATTTTTCTCCTCTAACCTTTATTTACAAGCCAACTATTCAAAGATGGATATTATTGTAATTTTGTTCTAAGTTTTTCTCTAATAATATCCTTGATCTTGTCCATTAACTCCTCCGTTGATTATAAATATCCATTTATTAAACTTTATATAAAGGTAATTAATAAATAAATATTTGTTATAATGATAGATAATATAACAATAGTAGAAAAACTACTTGTTAATGATAATGAAAGAACTGCAAATAAGGTAAAAATGCATAACAAAGTACTATTTTATTCTAATTAATTTAAATTTTTTGTCTGAAAAGGCAAAACTATTTAGTTTATAAATAAATAGGTAAATTATACAATAAATAAAAGAGTGCACTTAATGACAATATTATCTTAGTAGAATGTAATGGCAATCATTATCAACTCTCTATTGACAATCCTAATTATTTCCCAATAATAGGCTTTAGGTTAATATTCTAAATATAAGTATCCCCATTATCTTCTCACATCATATTTTTAAAGGGTATTTCTAAATTTGGTTAAGTATATTATAAATATTCCTGGTACAATAGATCCAGTAATGATTATTAGTAAGGTTAGATAAGGGATCCATTATTGATGAAGTGGTGTATCAAATTAATAAGCCAAATCACACTGGATCCATTTTATGCCGGATAATGTTCTAAATGATAATGAAGATATCAATAATTATATCACCTATAATTACAAAATAAATATAAATCACAAGAAGTTGGTACTGCTTCATTATAAATGATCTTATTTAGGACTCTCAATAAGAAGTATAATGTTTATAAATTATTTATTTAATCAGATATAAATAGGAAGATCCATCCATAAAACAGTGGACAAATGATACTATAAATCATTTTCACATAAATAATTCCCTCATGAAAATTCTCAGCTAAAAAGTAATCCGTGGTTACTAATAACATTGTTTAAGAGTTCCCAGTAATATTATTATAATCCTTAAATGCTTATGGAATTTCAACATTAAAATGTATTATGTTGGCCAAGATTTGTAAATAATTTGTAAGCATTTTCATAAGTGGACCAGTTTGGTTATTATTGTTAATTATTAATTGTCTTGATCCTACTTTATTTTTCTATAATTCTAATATCAATTTCTCAACTCCATTTGTTGATAAATAGATAGAAAACAAATTCTTAAAATTAAATAAGTATAAAATACCATAAGATTATCAATATGATATAAATAATTTATTCATCCAAATCCTCTCGTTTTTAACATTAATACAATTTCTTAAGGCTATATTAAACATTTCCTCGGTATTGTATTATCACATGCTTCACAACAAGCTCCTAATTAGCCAATTTCACAAGTCTCGTTCCTTATTTCCATCCACCTAAACAGTTCTCTATTCTATTTTAACAATGCTCAATAATTTCACTATTCCAATATCTAGCTTTAAATAAAGTTAGGCAGGTGTTATTGAAACTATTGTATCTTCATCCATAAATTAACAGGTTGTTGCATTGATAGTTACTGAATATTATTTCTTGTTAATGTCACATAAATAACAAGCATTATCAGTGAGGTTCTTATATTCTCCCAATTCACATGGATATGTTTGAATGTATAAAATTAATTAATATTTAGAGTTGTAATCCATTATCTAATAAGGAAAAGTATCTTCATATTTGGGGATTTAGACACTATTACAACTTTTCATTATTCTCAGTTCCGTAAAAAATAATTAAATCATCTAAATTATAATCTTAAGTTTCTTCATCAAACACTTTTCGATTATAATTTGTATATTATTTGTAAAAACGGTTTCTTAGGAACCTTACTGGAGGCCACTTTAAATTAAACATTCACTATTATTAAGATGAAATTGTTATTCGTGATAAGCGTTTAAAGCTAAAACTCTGAATTTTATTTGTTAATGCTAGTATTTTTATTTATCGATATCAATATACTAATACGTCTAAATTTATTAACCACTCGGCAATTTTAAGACTAATAATTCTGATGGATTGGATTAATTAGTTAAGTAAGCATTAATATACTAAAGTTTAAAACTACAAATTTTTGTATATATTGTAAGTTAAGTTGAGTGAGATGAACTAATATTACCATATCTATGTGCAGTATTATTACTCAAATAGTTTACTGTTTTATTTAATTCAGGTAAACTTTGGCTGCCTAGATATATTGCACCTCCTTCTTATGCTGTATTTGACACTATAAGATTATTTTGAAATAAAAGATTTGTAATTTCTCCATCATAATAAATACTTTCTCCTTATTCTGTGAGTTTTTCACTTAAAATACTATTTGTTATTTAAAGACCAATCTATTGGCTAACTATGCATCCTCCTTTCTTTGCTTAATTTCTATAACAAAACATAGTGTCAAGTGTTAACTTAGACATTTGCTTTTGATCTTAGCTTTGAAACTCTTAAACGATGCATAAACATCCATTTTAACCACATTAATTATCCATTAACCATATGTTTTGATAAAATAATATTGTCCGATTGCAACTCAATTAATTTAATTAAAATAAGTACTTATTAACACAATAGGCACTAATTATTTAAAAATTAGCTTGATTTAATTGATATTGAATCTGTATTTTTTACATTAATTATTTAAACTAAATTTTCAATCTAATTTTAGGGTTCATATAATAAAATCTGATAAATTTATTAATTCATAAGTCGAGTTCTTCAATTTTAATATGTATTCGTTTTGACAGCTTTATGACAGTATTAACTAATCATCAATTGCTTCCTTAATTTAGATTGCTACCAATTTTGAATCATCTTTGTACCATTTAAAGTTTTTGATTTTAAGACCTGTAATTTCAATTTTGCATTGTTAATCTATTAAAAATAATATTATTATAATACCTTCTGAAAATCTAATTTAAATTATAGAATTCTGATAATAATAAGAATAGTCTATTTCGATTGATGTCAAACTGATTTTGCTTTTATCTCGAAAAACAAGATAACCTCACTATATTGAAATCATTGTAGTTTCATGTTTTTGAAGTGGACTAAACAAAGACCTAAATTTGGAATAACCCTATATCGTTTATAAAATTCTGCAATTCTATATATAGAGTAATTGATTAAAGCTTATGAAATTAAGTTTGGCAATATTACAATCATTTGAAAAGACATCCTAAAATGTCACATTAGTGAAGTTAAAGTTAACTTATTAAGCAATTGTCTTGAGATAAATAACACCACCTTCAGCAGTTCCAATAATTGTATTATAAATAGAATCTAATATATCAATTTAGATATTAATGCTTTTATCAATAATATACAGGCAACCACAAAATGATTATTCTTCAGATATTTTAGTGTAGATATTTTTGAATACAGAATTTCTGACAGACAACTACCCTTCATTGTGTAATGTAATTTTAAAACATCCCGCGGAAGTTGAAAAACTATCTTCAATATTTATTTTTCTAAATTATACTGAGGAGGATATAAGTTAACCATTACCACTCTTAGATAGTACTTAATATTAACTTTTGATTTATTCCAATGTTAAATAAAACGGTTGGTATTTCCAATTTATGTGCTTCAAAAGGCTATCAAAGATGTAATTAGTTGAAACAAAAGATGAATCAATTAGATTAACTTATTCAGCACTTATATATAATAAACTATTTTCACTTTAAGAGACATAATTTTGGTTAAACTAGCAATTGATCAACTATATTTTCGAATCTTATGCAATTATATAGAATATTAAAGCTGAGTCAGACTCAGATCCTTCATAGTATGAATAGTAAAATGTTATTATTAAATTTAGAATTTAGAATTTAGATATCTCATTATTATTCTGATCATATAAGAATTCCAGATATCTAATTAATAGTCTAACTCTCTTAGATGATGCAATTATCTAAATTCATGGAATCTATAACAATAGATTCAGATCTTCTAATAATTTAGGTTGCAATAGAGATTATGTAGATCATAGGGAAATCCAAAAGAATAAGATTAGATACATAAAAGTTTTATATTTTAATATCTTATGCCTCTTAAATGATCAAAGTAGATGTATATTTCGAATATGGATTAAGTCATGAACATTATTCATCTGCAATAATGCTCTTAAAGAAGTACTTTGAGTTTAATGAAATAGTAAAATTTGAAAGTACTAAGTTAATGGCTGAAGATAGTAAAAATTCTGTAATACCAATTGATCTGATGATCTTAATATCAGATATCTCAATTATGTTGGATTATATTAGAATAATAGAGGAAATTGACTATAAATTGGAAACCAATTAAATATTATCATAAAGAGTGATTGTATCTAAAATAATATTTGACATCTTAACAGTACTAGTCAAATCATTTGATACTAAATTTATAAGAATTGTTTTATCGTCGTGTTAAATCTAATTAACTTCAATATTCTCAAAAATGATAGATTGAAACTAGTAATCTTAAACAAAATTAATAATTGAGCTATTCTTTAAACTACAAAACTAAATTTAATAGTCCTTATTAATTTATTCATTTGTTGTTTAAAATAGAATGAAATTTTAGAATGTTGAATTTGTTAAAGAGATTCTGCTTATAATTAAACTTTTATAACAAAAAGTCTAGAATAAAGGCTGAATATTAGATAACAAGGAGAAAACGATCGATATTTATGATATAGATCCTTACATAACTAGATATTAGTTATTTTTAATTTTCATAAATGAGCTAGAATAAAGATTGGAATTTGAGATTAGAATGTTATTAAAGTAACAATTTGTTGTTTTTTAAAACTAATTATCAAGTAAGATTATATTTGAATTGTGAATCATTGAATTTATAATAGTAAATATATCAATATTAATGTCAATATATTGTTATTAAACTGTATGTTCGAAGTAAAACAAGCTATTGACAGATTGTAGATTAAAATTCTGTAAAGATAACTATTGGATCTATAATTCCTAAAGATTTATTGATAAAATAATAAAAGGTTATAGGATTTTAAAACTACTGAATTAAATAATACTTTTAAAGCACTTAAAGATTATAAATGAATGTTCACATTTGATTAAGGCTAAATTACTATATTTTATATTGAAATAGATTTGAAATTCAGTATTTCTAGATTAGAGTTAAGGAATAATGTGTAACCATTACCAATTAAAGTAATTTACATGTAGTGACAAATAGATGTTTTAGGTTAAAGTAGTGAAAATGTAAGAGTGTAGCTCTATAGAACAATCTTAAATGAAGTTAGATAAAAAACACTAGTTAATGAAGAATTTAATTTGATAAAACTAGAATAAAAATACAGTTTGCATTTGCTCAACTATTGGATTGCAAATTTTAATTAAAAGAACTATTCTTGCTATTTTTGAGGCACTAATAATTATTTGCATTAAAAATGCTTATGCAATTTAATTGTTGAACCATAGTCAAAAAATCAAAAGAATGATAATTACATTTAATTTTAGCGCTTAAAGTTTCAAGGTAATTTTTTAAAAGTTTAATTAAAATCCATGAAAGACATCTATTTAAGACCAAATTTTCCAACCATTCTTCCATTACTTTGATCGCTATTCACATTTATAACAATTCAGCTCTTATGGACATGCAATGCATTAGCCAGAAGCTAATTCATTATAATATCCAGGAAAACAAAATAAACATATACTTTAGAAACAGTAAGCACAATTAAACAATAAATATTCGCAACCATTTGAGACTGAAACAATTTACTTGTGTAAACCAGACATAAGTACTATAATTGGTCTAATTACAGTGATTGATACAACACATTTGTG